ATATATATATATATATATAAATATATATATATATATACATATGTAAAATTTAGTTCAAATTAATTTAAAACGTTTTTTGTCATCATAAATGTTGATACAAGTTTTTCAGTTTCATGTTAAAAGCAATAAATGGGATCAATTGTGCTGCTTGGGTCAAATTTTATCATCAAATTATTTGACTTCCGCCTTGAATCCAAACGGAAGTTGAGAAATTATCATTTCAAAACTTCTCATAAATCATCTTACCGAGAGGGTTTCACTTCTTGTTCTTTTTTTCTGTCCATCTTCAGTGCGCGCTCGTGCCGCTGGTTCCGATGGAAACGCTGCAAGCTGGTCCGGGACCCGGGATGGAAATCCTGCAGAGCGCACAAGTTGCGCTTCGGTCCAGTTCTCAGCTTCCCAGAACCGGAACCGAATGATTAAAAACTTTAAACCGGTTTCATCCAGGAGTTCCGTTCTTGATCACCCCAAAAAAAAAAAAAAAAAAACGGTCCGAGAAAACAGATGATAAAAGGTAATAAAATCAATTTTACGAGTCAAAGATGTGCAGAAATCCCAAAAAGATTTTTGTCGGGATACTTTGACCCACTTTTACCGCCAAGAAACGCCCGAACCGAGTCAGTTTATTAGCAGAGCAACAGTTCACTCACTTGTTGTGTATTTCTGTCCTGATTCTCTCTCCTCAGCATCTGCCTGCTGCTCCCCCCTCCCTCCCCTGTCACACTCACACACACCTCCACGCACACGCACACACTGATCGTCCCATCCCGCAGGTGACCTTTTCCCACAAATCAAATGACTACATTTATTTAATGCTTTAATTAAATGTTGTTTCCGTTTAAATGTTTGAAATTTATTTGCGCCACAATTAAAAACAGGCAGAGGAAAACATGCACGTGCATTTTCTTTTAAGAATAAAAGCTCAATTTTCAGTTTAGCCTTTTCTGATATTCCTGCAAAAAAACATTTTCTGTTATTATCATTATTATTATTATTATTATTGCCCGTCACAAAACGGCGAAGGCATACGATGGTGTTTTGTCCGTGTTTGTCTGTCTGTTAGCAAAATATCTCGTGAATCGTTGAACGAATTTTATTGAAACTCATAGAAATGATCCATTGGATGTACATCTGCAAGTGATTAACGTTTAGAATTAATACCATTCAATTTGACTATCACAGATAACTTATTTAAAAACACGCAAGCATGGCTAAAACTCAGTCAGTTTTACAGATATTGATCCAAACTGTGGTCTGCCATGCTGAGCTTGATCTCCAGCACATGTTCAGAGCACTAACAGATTGTACAAGATCTTTGTATGACATTTTGTTGTTAAATATTTGGAGTCAGCTGTTAGTTGTAGTCTTTTAGTAAAATATCTCGAACTGCGGAACTGATTTGAATGAAACTTCCAGGAAATAATCACTGGATGAACTTATGCAACTGAATAATCTTTGGAGTCCATCCTATTACAGATGGCTGCTACAATCATCTGACTTTAAAAAGCATAAAAACAGCTACAATTAGGTCATTTTTATAAATATTCTGCTCAGATTTGATGTGGTAGTAGCTGAGAGTCATTCACCACATGTTATCCAAGTGATACCCATTTAGCAAGCTTCGCTTAAAAATCTGGCATTAACAAATGAAGTCAGCCCTGTTTCTCAGTTTGCAAAATATCTCAGATAGGACTTGACAGATTTTAATGAAACTTTCAGGAAATAATCAGTGGATGTGCATCTACAACTGATGAACTTTTTTGGTCAATCCAACTGCAATTAATCTCCGTTAGCCAAAACAAAAAATGCCTATGTCTCAGTTAATGATGCTGATTTTGGGCTACAATTTCTTGTGGTAGTGGTACAGTTTCAGTGTGGCAATGCACATACATAATATTATTTTCAAGGTTTGATTAAAACAGCTAGAACTCATTTATTTGTTAATGTGAGATGATCTAATAAATTAAAACAAATGTCATGAAAGGCAGCAGGCGATATGCATTTCCTTAATCAGTGCCATGCCATCAGCTGCTGTTGCTAAAATCTGCTGTGATGATTTTCTGCAAGCTTCACTTTTAACTTGCAGTAGAACATTTGGAGAGTTCAAGCCTTGAGTTGCATAAACAGGTTCAAGTAGAGAAGCATGTAGCTGCTTGTGGAGCCGGAGGACAGCAGGTGAGAAAAAGAATGAACAAAACGTGGACGATACAGATGTGAGACTGGAACAGGCAGGTGAAGACATACAATTGAAAGGAGGAGAGAGTGCTGTTCTCAGGGGTTTGTTGTCAATTTCTGTGTTTTTGTAGCTTTCAGACCTCATTAGGGATGAAAGATGTATTGATGGTGACAACTCTCCCCCCTTCCTCCTCCTCCTCCACCTCCATCTCATCCTCTCTTTCCTACTTATCTCCCTCTTTCATTGTCCGCTTGTAGCCTTAATAAATTAATTCTTAGGCTAGTTTTATCTCGCTGTTTTTGCTCATCCTGAAAAAAAAAAAAAAGTTTAATTTGCTGCATCACATTTGACAAAAGATGTGTATCTTTCGTGAAATGTGGCTCTGCTTATAAATTGAACCAAGTCTCAGTCGTAAAGGGGCCTTTACGCTCAAAAAAGAGCAGAGTAAAGCCATTTAGGCACTCAGTCCAAGTACACTTGTATGCACTGGCAGTTTTGCTCCTTATTTATTCATCTTTCAACTTTACTGAGCCGGGATGTGTAGCAGATATTGAATATGGATCAATAGATCACTCCCCAGGATGCGTACTGTCAGCCGACTGAGCCCTCAGGCAGATGCCAAGCCTCTGGTCACATTTGCATTCAGAAACAGAAAATAACTTCTGGCTTGTCAGAAAAATTGTAAACTGAGTGCTCTTTTCATTATATTTTATTTTATTTCACAAAACAGGCAAATTAAATACACTTGCTCCACAAGCAGCTACATGCTACTCTACTTGAACCTGTTTATGCAACTCAAGGCTTTAACTCTCCAAATGTTCTATGACATGAGCGTAAGATTTTTATTTTTATTTTTATTTTAGATTAAATACTGATCTATGAGAGGGTGTTTGTTCTTTAGGTGCAGCCGATGTGTGAGTGCCTATGCACAAATACACGTGTAAGTTAACGTGTGGGCTGTGGCACACCGGCGAAACACGGAGAAGTTCCCTGAATCTAAATTATAATTGCTAGGAAGGAAGGACAATTTAGAGAGAATGAGATTTTTAGAGCCCCATAAAATATTAACCAAGTCGAAGAATGTATAAGCTGTGAGGCGATAATGTCTGTCCCTGACTCGGTTTTCATCCTATTCTTGTCTGCTCTTTAATAATCAAACCTAATGAAGGATATTTTTTCTTTATGTAGTCCCAATTTTTTATAAACACAGTAAATATTATCACATCCCGGCTTAATAAACTAGTTAAAAGTTATGGATTCAGTCCTGCTCTTCATGTCCATCCTTGAGCTTTTTTTGACCTTGAGGCGTCTGAGCTGCAGAAATATGATTATTGCAAAGGGTAGATATAAAACTTTAAGCTCTGAGGAGCAGAGAGTAACAGGGTAAAACTCAGGTTCAACAAAGGTGTTGGCCGTTAATCCATCGATTTGCTGACCTCAAATGCTCCTATAACTGAGGAAAAACTCAAATAAACAAGTGTTCAACCTCCTTTCAGGCACCTAACGATGTAACATTTCCTGAAAATGCAGTCGTGCCATACAGAACAATTTATACCATCAGTAATCGATTTATTTTATAGATTAAAATAATAGACTAGTTTATTTAAAAGTGATATTTTGTCTAATAGTCGTCAATAGTTGTCAGCCATGACATCAGTCATAAAGACAATGAAGAAAAATGTCACAAGTGGTTGCCCAGGATAACGGCTAGCTAAACGAGTGCCCATTTTTTTATTTATTTTTCTG